CGTAATCCTCTCGCCTGGGTCGCCCAAAGTGCTGACTGGGATTACAGGCTTGAGTCACTGTGCCCAGCCGAAGAAAATAAATCTTTATTATTGAGATAAAACGATGCTCATAATATTGGTGGGGGGACAAGCTGCTGAAACAGAATGATATCATTTGCATTTTATAAAATGTATACATAATTAATCTAAGCACACAAAATAAGAGAACACCCACCACTCTGGTGCAGGTATGCAGTGGAATGAGTTATCACTAACACCACCACTGCTTACCGTGTGTCAGGCACTAAACTAAGTTCTTTATCTGGGTTCTCTCTACACTGTACTCAACAAATCAAAACTCTAGAGCTGGGACCCAGGAATCTATTTGTGTAATAAGAACCACAGAGGATTCCGAGAACCAGCTGGGTTTGACAACCACTTCCCTTCAGCATTATCACATCAATTCAGTCATGCCTTACCTAGTGCTTTGCTGATCTGTTTATCCAGAATTCTCAACAGGCATAATCTGAATGCTGCTACTGTAAAATCTCACTCAACTGGCCAGTCACGGTCTCAAGCCTGTCATCCCAGTACCTTGGGAGGCAGAGGTGAGAAGATTGCCTGAGCCCATGGGTTTGAGACCAGCCTGGGCAACATGGCGAAATCTTGTCTCTACAATAAATCAAAAAATTAGCTGGGCATAGTGGCACATGCCTAGTTCCAGCTTTTGGGAGGCTGAAGCAGAAGGATCGCCTGAACCCCGCAGGTTGAGGCTGTGGTGGCCATTGAGTGTGCCACTGCACTCCAGCCTGGGTAAAGAGTGAGGCTCCAACTCAAAAAAACAAAAAAAGAAAGAAAGAAACCAAAACCGCACTCAACTAACTCTCAATGAACCCCAGTCATCCTTCCCTACTCACCACTTTACACTAGCATTTCCAGGATGTTCACAACAAACTGGCAATCCAATTTCCCAGTTAATGTTTCCAAAAATGGAGTTCAGGTGTAACTGAAGATATAGAAGATCTTAGGTGGGATGTAGACTTTTTTTTTTTATTTAAGTTAGGGATCTTACTCTGTCACCCAGTAGCATGATCACAGCTCACTGCAAGCCTTGATCTTCTGGGCTCGGGTGATCCTTCTGCCTCTGCCATTGTGTTTGTCTTCCTGAGCAAGTTATTTAACCTACATGTTTCCTAACTGTAAAATGGATTGATAAAGTACCTACAGAGCTCACCCCACAGAGTTATGAGAATTAAGTATATAAAGTAAAGTGCTCAGAATAAGAACCTGACACTTAATAAGCTTTATATAAGCATTAGCTATTATTCTTATTCATGGTAAAAATACTGGTTTTCCATTTATGTATTTATTTAAAAGCTCCCTTTAAGTTTACTTTAAGTTACAAAGTGAGTTAATTTTTAAAATACGCAATGTCGGGCAGCACTCTTTCGGGCCCCCTCCCACTTGGGAGCTTTTCTGTCTTCTTAATAAATCCTACTTTAAAAAATAAAATAAATTAAAATATGCAATGTCAATACTGATATGTAAGGTACAAGAATACAGTATAAATCAAGAGGGTGGTACACGAATTAAGTAAAAACAAAAACTTGTAGGAGGGGGAAAAGCCAGGAGCTTGAAGAAAAAAACATTAGCTGGGCTTGGTGGCTCAGCCTGTATTTCCAGCACTTTGGGAGACCACGGTGAGTGATTGTCTGAGCCCACAGGTTTGAGATCGGCCTG